AAAAAAAAAAAAAAATCTGGATGCAAAATTTTCACTGCACAAGTACTTGTCTGGCTCTTAATGCATTTCCCTGTCAAAGTGCTTTTCTCTTGTACAGAAACATCCGTACGATGAGTTGACATGTGCATCAAGAATGTTTACCATGGAATAATCTTGCCATAAACTAAAGGAGCTTTTCTTAGAAAATTAAAGGTTTCAACAAAATGATGACCCAGAGTACTATGGAAAACCAGCTGTTTCAAAAAAAAAAAAAAAAACAATGGAGCACTTATGAAGAGACAATACCCCAATGACAAAAAACACAAACGTTATCGAAAATCCTTAAAGTGATATCAGTATAGTAGTTGCCAATAAAAGAACATGCCCTCTGAAAGCGATGAGAGGAGCAATTGCAGCTACGTGCCAAGCAACACAAAGTCACCATATCAGGAATCAGCACAGGGAATGAACAACTGCTGCCAGACGCTCATCAGGAGTAGCTGTTATCCGACCAATTGTTAAGTCATCAAACATCATTAAGCTACCATATGAATATTCCCAGTGATAGCAAATCTCTGTTCTTGAAATCTGGGAATTGATCCCTGCTTTCACCCGCGTAAATAAATAACGACCAACACGCACTTCCTCAACCCGACCTATTTCATCCCAAAGATGTAAAAAAAATCTTGCTATTTTCTAATTCAGTAAAAACTCGCTAATAAGCATAAAAATATGGAAAAACTCACAGCACCGGAACAACCCAACTGAAAATTGCAAATCTTAACATCCCACTTACCAGCTCTACAATTTTCCGCCGTTTATATATGCCTACAGCTGAAGCCAAAATGTCACAAAAAGGAAAAAAAATAATGAAAAAATTCCAACTGAAACCCATAGTTTTTTGACATTGCACGACAAATTTTACTGCATTTTATGTAAAAACCTGTCATCCTTCTTCTTCCAAAAAAAGACAAAAATGCTCAACAGGGTTGAGTCGTGAAGCGATAAGTGTTAACACGTATTTTTTCACCCAAGTGAACACTGCCAGCGTATTGAAAACAACTTCAGAACTGCTCATTTTCGGACATTTCAAAGAACCTAACTGAACAGAAGCAAAAGTATGATACCAGTAAATGGTAGAGTGCTCTTTAATTTTGACAAACTCTACAATCTGGCAATATTTTTTTGAGACAAAGCTCACTGAGCCATATTCCACAGATACGTAAATGCCACTATTTTACCCTCGCTTGTATAAGAACTAAAAGATTTCCCTTTTTTAAATGTTGTACGTCAACATTAAAGAAAAGCTAAAAAAAAAGTTACAGAAGCGAGAAAAAAATTATTATGCTGCTCCACCGTTGTGCTTAGCACCTTAATCAAAAAATGTACGTGTTTACTGGTTCGCATTTGTATATAAAACGTAAAAAAGGAACTATTAGATAAATGGATTAAATAAATTAAAGAATTACCAACGGAAGAAGGAGTTTCACCCCACTGTAGAAACACATTCTTTGTCGCTTTACCATATGTACTGACATAAACTCCTTCGTTATTATAACACAGTAATAATTGCATACCATTGCTATTTGGCAGTATCACTATGCAATGAGGCATCACAGGGGTCTCGTTCTAAAAAATTAAATTTTTCAAGCAAGCAAAAAAAATTTTCTCGACTCAATTTTAAAAAATACATTAGTTGGAATATAAATATCGTCTATCGAGCCAGAATCGAGGTCTATCGCGTGAAAACCTTCTCTAGAACCGTATAAAACTTTCAGTCGTGCGTTTTCTTCCACCGTCAGGTCAACAACCAGCGGAAGATGTGCAAGCTGCTGGAAATTCTGCAACAAACGTACGTCCTAAGCAATTTCCGGGCAAAGTTCAACTTAAAAAAGATGAAATTACAATGAAATCAAGTCACTAATAGCACCTGTTTACAAACTAACCTTGAAAGCCATAAATTTGTGATATGGTTTTGGAGCCCAGGCATAGATTTCAATTGAACTCTCTAAACCAACGACAAGAAATTTGATTCGTTCATATCGAACAATTTTAAAATGCACAGCGCCTTGTAACTCCCCAACATTTACCCATCCATTCCTCTTCTCCATCTGTCAGAAATGTAAAGTTTTTACTGACAATCGGTGAAAGTACAGAAGAATAATGACTAAATAAAGCCATCAAAAAGAAACAGGATCAACTTAAAAACTAGACATTTCGCTTGTCGCGATTATCCTAAGCGCAAGGACTAGAAGAAAATTGCAAAATGCAAAGTGGTAGTTGGAAACAAATTTTAAATAACGCTTATCAGTTGCATGTACAAAAATATAAACTGTGAGAATTTAGAGGTGGCAAAAAACAAAAGATTAAAGTTCCGACTACACCTCAATCCCACTTACACCTTCTGTCCGAAGGATTTTCTGTTTTAACCAAGAGAGGTAGTAAACTCGGATCCTTCTCTTCCGTCCACTGATAGTGACAAGAATGTTTTGTCCCTCAAGAACCGTCATTTGATCAAAACGTCTTCTCGTGATTAACTGGTATACTGCAAAAGTTGAAATTCGCAATAAACCCCTCTCCCCTCCAAAAAAACAAACAGCTCACGAATTTTTAAAAGAAATCATATTCTACTAAGCACCAGGAACCTTTCCCTTGCCCGCTACGATCCAATAACATCAAGCCTGAGTCAGTTCCAATAAGGAGGTTGACGCCCCATAACGCTGCACAGAGTATCTGAATAAGGTTAATGAAAAGAAAAGCTTACTGACAAATTAACACTCATAAAAAAATTAAAACGTTTCTGACGAAAAATAACGCTTACATCCCCACTAAACTTTTTTTTGTACTTCCGTATCTCTGGTGCATCTCCATCACTATGAGCTGCACTACCACTGCCAGCAGGATTCGGATTTACATTGACCTGTACCTAAAAAAATTAAAATGTAATAGAGCAATAAAACGTAACGGAACGTTTTTAAAGGAAGACAGGAGCAAACCAATATTCCAAAAAAAACTCAAATTCGACCTGATTGGTGTCCTGTGCACGTCCCGGTCGATTGACGGTGCCACCTGCACTTAAGCCTAAACCAAAATAGCCAACAAACGACTTCTCCCGATCCCTCACCGCCAACGGAGTGGTATGCCTCACAGCGTTGCTCACTGCGAGTGGGTACTACAAATAAGAACAAAATCGCCTAATCATGAGAAGGTAAAAAAAAAAGAGAATCACATGCAGTTACAAATCCAAGCCCAAGCAACCGAATTTAAGCAAAACTTGAAGCAGAGAGTTGCTAAAAGATGCAAATTAAAGCACAACTGGTAAGACTGAAAAACTGCCAGAATTCTCCACAGTAACAAATGACAACCTCGAGAAACCACACTTCCAAAAAATATCAAATCTTGACATTAGGCAACTGTCAACAAAAAATAGCATCTCAGGTCCCACAATGAAGATATAATTTTTTGTACTTCTACACAACTGGAGCAACTATAGGGCCGTCCCCAATCACAATTTGATGTGAAATTTTTTAAAAGCGGAATACCGTTCATTGTGACTAAATTTCAGCAAATTTGGCTCAATGTCACTGTGTAATACAGAGACATCCGGAGATGATCAGGGTGAACTCCTTAAAAGTATGCTAGACTTTTAAGTGAACTTGAGTAAATGATGTTGCACCTTTTGTATATTGTTTACTATAGTTTTACCCGTTTCTGTTTGCAATTTTATGTCGCGATTTCCATTTTCACTTGAAATTTTAGCCAAAATATGAGAGTAACTCCAATTTATTAAACTTATTTTTTAACAATTTTACTGCAGTAACTTTCTTAAATGTCCATGTACCTTAGTTCTATTTTTGTTTATTGTAATCTACATTCAAAATACTTCAAGAAAACGTGAAAAGGAGAAAAAATAAATTATAAGCATTTGAGAAAGGGGGTCATGAAATGGCTGAAGGAAAAAAATACAGTGGCTTTTAATTGAAAAAACTCTAAAAAATACTAGTAAAAAATAGGGAATAGTGTACTATAAAGTGGATAACATAAACGCTGTATGATATTTTGTTCGGTAGAAAACTTGAACCTAAAAAAAAACCAGAGAAATATCTGATACTGGTTTTTTACAGAAAAAATAGTTTCCATGACGGAAGGGAAAAAAACTGAGTGAGGACGATGAAATTCGTACAGATAGAGCAAAAAATCGAGCGATTGAAGGAGCTGCGACACAGTGTTTCCTCTAATGCATGCACGACTCAGGGCGTTGCCTGCCAAAGGGCTCCGACAACCAAAGATGCTGGATCTTAGACGGCTCAAACAACAGAAGATGTCGGGTATCAAACGGCTCTAGCACCGGAAAATGAAGAAAATAAGACGACTACTGTGGAAGTTAATGAGGATCGTCGGCAGTTATTGGATGTATCCAACAGTGTTCGGAATGCAATAACGAGTAGGGAAAAAAATTTGCGACATATCAGAAATACACTGGTATTCTACGAAAGAAAAATAAAAAAAATTATTCGAGGTGCGAAAAGAATGGATAGGATACCTACAGGAAATCGAATACAATTATGGAAGGCAGGAATAAGAAAGAAGAACAAGCAGCTGCCGACCCTCCACACCTCAAGTATGACAGCACGAACGAAACTGTGTGAAAACGTGCGAGAAATCGTGGTTACCATGGCTGACGCCTGCGGCCCATGGAACGATCAGTTGATAGCGTTGGGATTCCAACCACCCGCGCCGTCATCCTTCGTTTCCAGCGTTCCAGCGTCATAGGCCTGTCCCTAAACAAAGTGCGGGGGATACCGTCGCAGTTTCGCCGAACAGTTGAACAACAACGACAGAAACAGATCCTGCCAGCCTGCACGGTGCCAACTAAAGCAACGACGAGGAGAGAAGAATGGGAGGCCGACGCGGCAAAATTCGATGCAGTCGTCTTCAACAGTGTTCGCGACTTGATTATTCAGTTCAGCTGAGCCAGCATGCCGGTAGTTATGGAAGAGCTAAAATTGATCCTGAACTAACTGCTCAAGCACCACGACCACTGGTCCGAGAACAGAATACGTACAACAGGCTCTAAAAAGTTACTGCTGGGATTGAATTACAAGTATCATCGTCTATAGGGGAAAAAATTAGCAATGAAGGATGCGAAATGGAAAAGCTTGCTAAACGAGGTTAATGAACTATTCAGATATCGACTGATCGAATGCAGCCCAGTACTCATAGAGTCGGAACGTTTCCGCTACCTGCGTACACGGTACTTCGAGTGAATCAGGCAATGCAGAAAAGAGATCATTCTCTACACCGATGAAACGTGGATCTGATGTAACATGGAGCATTAAAAGAATTGGGCTTTCCCAGAAGATTATCGGAACCCAATATCTGAGGATGTGCCTCCGCAAGCTCCAAATTCGCAAAGAAGAAGGCTGACTGCGCTGCATTACCAGTCGGAGGAAAGCCTGTTGCACGGTGCTGAGAAAGTCCTCATATCCAGACAAGAAAATGAAGACGGCGTCTACCATCAAGACATGAGCTTCGAGTTCTACAAGACCCGGCTGACCAAACTTGCTGGTAACTTGGAAACGGTGTTTGGCAGGGATAAGGTCGTCCTGGTGATTGATAACGCTCCCTGTCACTTTAAACGGCTGCATCGCATCTCCACATCAGTGGATACGAAAGACAAGCTGGCGAGATTCCTGCAGCAGCACGCACTGCCGTACGAAGCATTGTGGATGAAGAAGATAATGCTGCAGGCTATTCAAAAATGTATTGCTGGCAAAAAAGTTCCAGACATATGTGGTGGACAAGACTGCGCAGGAAAGGGGGATTGAAATCCTTTGATCACCCTCTCTTGAATGCCAATTTTCGCCGATTGAACTCTTCTGGGATTGACTGAGATACGTTGCGAAAAAGGCGTACCCCAACATTAATGCCAAGGAATTACGACGCCTTACACTTCAAGAAAGTCACTTTTTGATGGCGCAAAAAAGAAAGAAGTACTAACAAATAGCGGCTGTTAACGATCTTTTTTTCAGACAATGAAAGAAGTACCCAAAGATTTCGCATCCAACTGGTTCCATAACTGCATTCAGACTGAGGACTTCATGTACGTCTGCGATACCAGACCTCCCGAACCTGCAGCCTTCGTGGAGATCGGATGTGCTCTACCGAACGACAGCGAAAAGGAAGCGTCGGACACGGAGAACATTGACGAGTGAACAGGCACAACAAGCACTTATTTCTCAATTACTTTATTGTAGATGACCTAATGTTTGTAAGAGGAAGTGTATTTGTAAATATTAGGAGTAGAAATAACCTGGTTCTTAAAAAAGAGAATGACGAAACATATTCTGGCTTAAAAAAATAGACCCCAGCTGTAAACTAGACAGAAAAAATACACTAACCATAGATGACCTGAACCTACTTTCCTACCTAAAAGGTACATTATTAGAAGAACGTACAATTTATTTTTCGTAAAAATTTTAAGTTGAGCCAAACACTCGGCAGAATTCAAAAATGAAAAAAAAGCTGTGGGTACATGAAGAAAGAAAAGTTATATTTACTCGCAAAGTAAGGAAACCAGTAAACCTGAAAAATTCAACGCACTCATACATTTCCGTTATTAACTCAACGAGAAAACTAAATTTCGACAAAATTCAACAAGCAGCTCTTGTTGCCAAAAATTTGACGAATAAAATGATGCCAAAATCACTACAATATTCCCACAGCAAAACTGTTAAACATGCTTTAACATGAATTTAGATCAACAGTTGCTCAGACTGTCAGCCGGCCGCGCCAATATTATACTGGTCCCGGCGCGACAATTATTTCCGCACTAAACTGGGATCGGACGGCCCTATACATCAAAAAAATTTAGTTTAACAATACCAAAAAAATCTAAAAAACTTTTCAAACAACATAAGATGATTCTTAAAGAAGTTTAACTTTTGCACAAATATGTGGCTCTATAATTTAAGAAAGGAAATTTTAATTTATGTTCATTATAAATGAAATTACATAACCAATTTGCTCAAAAAATCTCACAGTATAAAGATGAAACAAAAATCCTGCGCAACCGCAAAAACTCCAGGAACAAAAAGATTCCAAATGATCGTGCGCAACACTGGAAAAGCATGAACAAACGAAAAGTGACTGTACGCTGATTTGCGAAAATATGAACAATAATGCAAAACAGCCAGTAAAAATTTACGCAAATGCTGCTAATAAGCGATTTTTTTAATGAAAAAGCACAGATCCACCTTCAAAAGCTCAAAAAAATTAAAGATTTGCTATTTTCCAAGAAAAACGATAAAAACCTTATTTAAGAAATTCACCTAAAAAATTAAACACTGTTATACTACTCGAACAATAATTAAAGCCTATTTTGTTTTAAAAAAAAATGACGATTAATGTGCCGGAACTCAGTAGTCGACCATGGGAAGAACGTACAGAAGATATCCTAATAAATGAAATTATGAAAGGCACGACAAAACTTTAAAAAAAAAACCCCACTTCCTCAACAAACTGAGTCTCCATACAGGCAGATGGATGATCTTTGGCGAAAGCACTTGATGGCAGCATCCTATCAGCTAAAGTTTTCGGCAATAAATCGGGCAGTACAGCACTTCGCGAGCCATTGACAACGGGGGAAACACAATTAGCGTTTCGACCCATGTCTTTGCGTGCGTCTAAAGGTGAGTGCTCTGGAGAAGAACCACCGGAATCAGAAGTACTGGAAGATTCACCACTGCCAACAATAATCTCAGGACTTGGATTCTTAAAAAATACTGCTGTGTTTTGTCAATAAAAAATAAAACGCCGATTAGCACCGAAAAATACTAGATCAAAGAGACTGTAAAACGGTTACGCTGCAAGAAAGTCGATGCACAATACTACAACGATCAATATTTGAAAAGAAAAAAAAACATAGCTATTTTGGAAAGTAAGGAAACACAGCATACGTCGGGCACTGAAGAATTCTTCACCATTTGCGAAAACAGCGCATGTCGGTCAAAATCAAGATTGCTGCGGTGACCAAGCTCCAAGCTGTTGTTTCGCTAAAAGACCAATAATAATTACGGATGCTTAAAAAGCCCATAATGCCTTTCAAAAACCAAATACAAACGTACTTTGTGCGAGGCAAGCAATGTGCATGAACTGTCTACCAACTCAGTGCTAGACTGCTGTTCGGTGGGAGTTGGAGGCAGAGGCTTATTAGGCCCCTGAAGTATCCCTTCCTCAATAATCTGGAAAGACAATACGTCTCCTGAAGATTCTATTGTATCGCACTAATATAGTATGGACAAACCGTTTCACGATTATGAGTGGACGCCGGTTCACTGACCAAAAGTGTTCCATCATGCGACAAAGAAGTGTCATCTCCAACACTTACAATTGACGCATCTCGAGGGGGTGGAGCGGGAGGTGGTGGGCTTGAGCTGCCATTTATTTGCTGTTGCTGGTGACGACCAATACGGGTTAATTCATTAGCCAAAACATCCAAATCCTGAAATTTAATGGACTGTGCAAAAAAATTGTCTAGAGTATTTACAGCCACCAAAAGCGAACAGCGCTTATAATACAAGAAAAAAACTGCGGCTAAAGAAATCGTTCAAGCAAAAGCTAATGCAAACTGCGACTCCCTTTACCTCAGGCCTTCCATTCAAAACTGGCTCACTCAGCTTTCGACTGGGAGGAGCAGCTACTGATGCACTGACTCGTGTAATATGAGGTGGTGACCGTAAAGGATCCCTAGAAGGTTCGTGAATATCTCGCGAAGCTGCACTTCTATCCCTTCTCTGCTCCGCTAATAACCTAGCAGCTTCCTTTTCATTACGTCGCTTTCGGTCGTAGTTAGCTAAATTGGCAAGATGCGGAGCAGCTGGATGGTTCTGAGGAGGTGTCATCGCATTTGAGAGATGCGGAGAAATTCCACACTGGAAACCAAAAGTTACATAAGCTACAAAAAATTTATAACCTCAATCGTAACTACCCCATGCTTTACACATACAAAACAAAAAAAAATGAATCGCTCAGAATCACTGTTTCTGCACCCCTTCAAATTTTTTTTTGTTTCCGTGACTTCAAAAACCTGAACTTCTATCAAAATTTTTTTTAGTTTTTAGAATCACTTTATTTCACATTTCGCCCACTTTGAAAGTATTTAACTTCACACAAAAACCTATTTCTCCATTGTAATAAACACTACTTTCGCAAGTAGAGTTCCGGTTTTGAAACCCCGCATTTGTACCTTTCACGAATCACAGCTCTATTATCCGGTACAGAACCTATTTCTCCCCAACTCAACTGCTGTCATCTACTGCTTATCAACACAGAAGAAAACTAAGATAACTACAGTAAGCTTCGTAACTAAAAACTTTAAACAGGCATTAAATATCAGACCCCGCATTCTAATAAAAATATCAGTCCTCAAATTTCAAAATAATCTAGAATTTTTAAAAACATAAAATTTATTGCAATCTAAAGGGCGTGATGATAGTTGGAAACACCTGTAAACTGGAAGCGTTACTGATTACTTGAACAGTAAGCTCTAAAGTGAGCTTCTGGAAAGTGAAACAGTCTTTCGCCAAAGAAGTACTACTTATTTGGCAAGAAAAACAAAAACCAGAACTGATTTTCCTGTAATTATCTTACAAAGATTCATGTGCGAAAAATCAGTGGCACTCGTGGTTGGCAAAATGACGCTGGTGTAGTGTTTGTCGACACTGTTCTATGCCAGCCAGTAAGAAATGATTCAGAATTACAAAAACTGGTAGGTTCAAATCTAGAGCAGAATTCGCTACTTCTCTATTAATATGAGCTATAAGAAAGCCTTTTCGCTTGGTAAAATAACCATTTTTCTAATTAAGAGCTGCAAATATTTTACTTCTCGTAAGTCGAGTGCCCAACAAAATAGCAGGAAATGAAACAAAATAAGGGTTTTGAAGAATAATTTAAAAGATTTTACACACTGTTTTATTCAATTCGTTTTTTCTTAAATACTGAAAATTAAAAAAAAAAAAAATTAATTACCTAATTAATAAAAAAGTATAAGAAAGCTTTCTACAGCTTTTGATTCTCAATTACCGCTGAAAAAAATTTGCTCTTTCCTCCGACAACCTTTCAATTTTTCTCATGAATTAAAAAACCTTTGCTAATTCGTAAACCAGCTCTCCAACAAGAACTTCTACATACGCTACTCTAACTAGTTAATGCAATCCCAAGGTTCCTTTTCACTATTCAAAATAAAAAAAATTTTGTTCCTGCACCAAACACACCAATTACTCTAACAAGTCAAAATTTCGTATGAAATTGCCAGAATACAGCTAGCTGTCTAGCTCACTAACGAAGAAGAGGCGATTAGCCGCTTAACTCGCTGGCCGTGTGTCCACCCTTTCTCTCCAAATGCATCACATTTCCATACTTCTTTTGTTCTTGATAATTCAAACTAGACTTAGGACTATAACAACTACACCCAAAAAACTAAAGGTATCGTCATCTCAAATAAGAATAAATTGAAAAAAAGTGAAGTAAGCAAACAGAAACGTAAAAAGACAGAAACCTGTTGTGCCGACTGGTGGTGCGAAAGAGGCCTTTGCGACCGTCGATGCTCCTGCGCCATTATTTGACGACCACTGTTGAGCGCTACTCTCGGATCCACCTGCTGTTGCCTAAGCTTTATGTTTTCACGCGAAAGATCATTAACTTGTGCGCCAAATTCTGTAACACTTTATCTGTGAATATCCTTGTACAACTTGATAGATTTGCATCAGCATAATTTTTGAAATAATGAACACTTCAAATTCAAACCTTGTCTATGGTACCCTTGTGCGGATATTTTCTGTAACTGATGATGATGTGATGAAATAGGGCCCCCAACAACATTCCTCTGCCTCACCTGCATTCCTGATGAATGCTCAAATATGTTTTTATTATTCTCTTGCAGTCTTTGAAATCCTTTCCTCAGTGTGTTGTCATGCGATGACTGAAGCGCACTTGCTAAATCTAAACAGAAAAAAGATCAGTTGCCACCACTTACGCTAAAACAAATTGGCATTTACCAAAAAAATTTTTTTTTAATCAAGGAAATGACATTAAAAAAAACCTGACTGAGGGTCGAAAGCTTTGCCGTTTTGACCGTGATTTTCATCGTCATCACTTCCGGAATACTCGTATTCGGTTTCGTCTATAACGCACCACATTACCAAAAAATCTTCAGCTCATATCCCAAAAAACCCTAAAGTAACCTTTCTTACTGTTCATCCTTCTATGCCGATCCTGATGGTCCTTAATGGCAATACGAGTTTGCCTTTCAGGAGGTTGGTCTCTGATAAACGGGTGTCTCAGAAGCTGGTCTGTATACGGACGTTGCGTATAATCTTTCACCAAGACTGTCTCAATAAATGCTTCAAATTTTTTAGACCTAGAAACAAAAGCCAATATAGCTGCCCTACAACGGAACAGAAGCAAACATCACAGAAACGGTGGCTAAAACAATATGTTTCAATTATATATGTACTAGTTTCTCTCCCTACCATTTCTTCCCGCGTTTCAGCCTCGGGGGCGAGTTACGAGGAATAAGAAACAAAGCACGCATTGGATGCATGTCCACTAACGGCGGATGTCCTTCGGCCATTTCCAAAGCTGTAATTCCCAAGGACCAAAGGTCACTTCTAGAATCATATGTGGCTTTAGGATTCTCGTCACAAGCTATGACTTCTGGAGCCATCCTAAAATTCTAAAATGTACTAAGCCCCAAAAATCACAGTGTGCATTAAAAGAAAAATAAGTAGAAATAAAAATCCAATTTTAAGATACAAACCAGTAAGGCGTCCCAATGAAAGTGTTTCGCCGACCCACAGTCCTATCCAGTTGAGCACTCACTCCAAAGTCAACCAACTTTACTTCCCCATTATCGGTTAAAAGAACATTCTGACCCTTAATATCACGATGAATCACTTTGTTCTGGTGCAGATGATATAAACCCTGCAAAAGTTTTGACTTTCAACACCAACCAACGAAAGAAACAGTTTTTAGTATTTCCAGCACTTATGACCATTCACTCGACTGCCTTCTTGCCTCTTCCTTTTCCAAAACAACAATAAAAAAAAATAAAAAGCCTGCGAATTCTTACCAATAGAACTGCCACAAAATGATAAGAAATTCTAATAATAAAAATAAAAAAAAATAATAATAGTAATGAAGTAAAACAACAAAACACAGATTCTTCGCAAAATAATATTTTTAATAAAAGCGAACGAAGTTGTATTAACATAATAAAACACCCTTAGAATTTCTCGGCAAATGTAAGCAATCCAGTCCTCCTTCAAGCAAGCTCCTTTAGTGCTTTTCACAAGATCTGTAACAGAACCGCTCCCACAAAACTCCATTACTAGCCACAGCTGATCATGTTTTCCAGTCGATGAAGGTAATTTCTTAATGAATGCTCCGTAATAAGTAGCAATATTCCTGTGATGAGAGTACTGAAAAACAGCGCTTAAACAGTCTTTTCCCGGTTAAAATACCATCAATTCTAACTATAAAGTTCGACAAACTATAAGCTGGAAAGCTCAACCTTCTTCAGCATATTGATCTCCATTTTTATCTCTTCTTCTTCATCCTGAATAAAAACTAATATTAGCTACTGAATCAACAGACGATATATAAATCACACTACATGCACTATTTATAAATAAGTTGAAAAAAAAAAACAGATCGGGTTTCGTAATCAAAAAATGGAAGAGAAGGTACGAAAAAGGAAACCCCCTACCTACTCATAACTCCATAAAAGCAAAAAAACTTTTCCAACTTTTTTTTTCTGCTCACTTCTCCAGCACGCATCTTCGTGATTTACAAGCGTAATTTAGTGACTTAGGACTACTATGAAAGCCTATCTCTCTCTGATCCGAAAAGCAAATTGCTTCAAAAAAGCAGGATTTCACAGAAGGGGCTGCGCAAGGATTAGCAGTTGAAGCTAAAAAAATTACTGAGATTCGTTCGCTTCACAAAGAAAAATTTAGCGTGCAGAAATTCACAGATCCAGAACCACTCCGGAACAAGTAACTCTAATGCATTCTGGTGAGAATTTCTTTGCGCTAGAAAATTTTTCTACAACTGTGCAGTGGCTGAGCTCACAATGAATAAATTAAATTTACACCTCAAACGCATCACAAGTGTAAAAAACTTTACTATCCCTGCTCCATTTTTCGTCCTATAACCTTTGCACCTACTGCACGACAATTTGCAACTGGGATCCTTGATAAAGACACAAAAGATTTTTGTTTCTAA